AAAGCCATCAATTTGTGAAGAATTGGTAAGACAGATGAAGAGAGACCACATCATTAAATAGAACTAGTCAGACTAGCCGTCCAGCCCTGAACCGACGGACCTGTATAAAGGATAGGAATTATAGGGACAAAGAGGGGGAGGGGCTGGTCACAAATGTTAGAATTTTCAGACAAGACTAGAATGTTTGGTTTGTCACTTGAAGGACTTCCTTGATAATTTGACCAGTGAAATTCATTTTATATTCTTTCAACTGACCCAATTGAAAACAGTTCGATGATACCCCTGGGAAAGAGTTAGAAAGTATTGGGCACATCCGAAGTTAATGTTTGGTAACAAACATTTCGTAACCCTATGAGAATGACCCTGTCAACCCTTACAATCTGTCCCGGTCTGTATGTAAACGTTACGTACAGAGCTGTGAGTAATCGAGAATCTTCATGCTAGAAGAACAATCTGTTTAATGCCCATCTGGTGTCAGGCAACAGAAACAAATCTCTGGGGCATCGCGAACATTAAGAACTGGTTTACGGGAGTTCAAATTGCTTTCAGCAATGAGGAAACATGACTGTCCTCGATGTTTCAACGTCCAATAACACAAACAGTAGGGCTGACATTTGTCACATACAGTTCATTCGGAAAGTATTCAGACCCTTTGACTTTTTCCACATTTTGTTACGTTACAGCCTTATTCTAAAATTGATGAAATACATTTTCCTCATCAATCTACACACAATACCCCATAATGACAAAGCGAAAACATTTTTTTTTTTTTTTTTTTTGCAAATGTATAATATATTTGAAACAGAAATACCTTATTTACATAACTATTCAGACCCTTCGCTATCAGACTCGAAATTGAGCTCAGGTGCATACTGTTTCCATTGATCATCCTTGAGACATTTCTACAACTTGATTCGAGTCCACCTGTGGTAAATTCAATTGATTCGACATGATTTGGAAAGGCACACACCTGTCTATATAAAAGGTCCCACAGTTGACAGTGCATGTCAGAGCAAAAACCTGCAGCATTGAAGGTCCCCAAGAACACAGTGGCCTCCATCACTCTTAAATGGAAGAAGTTTGGAACCACCAAGACTCGTCCTTGAGCTGGGCCAAACTGAGCAATCAGGGTGAGAAGGGCCTTGGTCAGGGAGGTGACTAAGAACCCGATGGTCATTCTGACAGAGCTCCAGAGATCCTCTGTGAAGATGGAAGAACCATCTCTGCAGCACTCCACCAATCAGGCCTTTATGGAAGAGTGGCCAGACGGAAGCCACTCCTCAATAAAAAGGCACATGACAGCCCACTTGGAGTTTGTTAAAACGCATCTAAAGAATCTCAGACCATGAGAAACAAGATTCTCTGGTCTGATGAAACCAAGATTGAGCTCTTTAGCCTGAATGCCAAGCGTCGTGTCTGGAGGAAACCTGGTACTATCCCTACAGTGAAGTATGGTGGTGGCAGCATCACGCTGTGGGGATGTTTTTCAGCGGCAGGGACTGGGAGACTAGTCAGGATCGAGGGAAAGATGAACAGAGCAAAGTACAGAGAGATCCTTGATGAAAACCTGCTCCAGAGCGCTCAGGACCTCAGACTGGGGCGAAGGTTCACCTTCCAACAGGACAACGACCCTAAGCACACAGCCAAGACAAAGCAGGAGTGGCTTCAGGACAAGTCTCTGAATGTCCTTGAGTGGCCCAGCCAGAGCCCGGACTTCAACATCTTTGGAGAGACCTGAAAATAGCTGTGCAGCGACGCTCCCCATCCAACCTAGAGAAGAATAGGAGAAACTCCCCAAATACAGGTGTACCAAGCTTATAGCGTCATACCCAAGAAGCCTTGAGGCTGTAATCGCTGCCAAAGGTGCTTCAACAAAGTACTGAGTAAAGTGTCTGAATACTTATGTAAATGTAATATCAGTTTTGCAAAAAATTATAAAAACCTGTTTTTGCTTTGTCCGTACGGGGTATTGTGTGTAGATTGATGAGAATATATATTTTTTAATCAATTTTAGAATAAGGCTGTAAAGTAACAAAATGTTGAAAAAGTCAAGGGGTCTGAATACTTTCCGAATGCACTGTATTTGTTCAAACCTAACAATGAGTCTTGAGTACGGTTCTTTCTGCCACGGGATGATTCAGTGACAAACAGGTGTGCTAGACTAGCTACCTGACTTATAGTCCCTCTGGACCAGATTGTTTATTTCTGCTTCAAGCAGCATGACTAAATGGATCCAGCCCGGGTTAACGGAGGACCTCATAAATGAGAAACAACTCACTCCCACCCCAGAGCGGTGGAACCAATGTAGACACAGTAACAGCATCGGTCTTGTGGGTGTTGGACCTAAACTAGAGGAGCCGTGTAGACAGGTCTTGACTCCCTAAATAAACCCCAAAACAATCACACTCTGTCATAGGGAGAGAAAACACTGATGGAGGAAGAGATGGAGTTGAATGATGATATATGTCTGGCTAATTAAGAGGTTTCAACTCCCAGCTTGACTGCATTGGGGGTAATTTAGGGGCCCACATTATTGGGTTAAGAAAAAAATATGAGAAAAGGGGTTCCTACTTTGACATTTAATCCGTCTTGAACTTTGCAGGATTTTTATGGGCTTCTGACGAGACACCCAGAATGTGTGTGTGTCGTGTGTGTGTGTGTGTGTGTGTGTGTGTGCGCGCATCAAGCTCACACACAATCTGTCATTAACAGAGAAAAGATCAGAGTAGCCGGTCTTCAACAAAAACAACCCAACTCTCTCTTTCACACACTGGTTTCAGGAAGATTTGTTTTTATTTATTTATTTGTTGAACAGGGCTTTTCCCGAGAAGATACAGTATTGGAAGGGTTCAATCAGGAAGATCCAGTATTGGAATGGCTAAAGCTGCAATATGTAACTTTTTGGGCGACCCGTACAAATTCACATAGAAATGTGATTTCAGAAAGTATCCATATCCTTTGACTTATTCCACATTTTGTTGTGTTACAATCTGAATTCAAAATTGATTCAATTGATTTCTCACCCATCTATACACTACTACCCCCATAATGACAAAGTGAAAACATGTTTTTCTAAATTTTAGCACATTTATTGAAAATGAAATACATAAATATCTCATTTACATAAGTATTCACAACCATGAGCCAATACATGTTAGAATCACCTTTGGCAGCGATTACAGTATTTTGGGGTAAGTCTCTAAGAGATTTCCACACCTGGATTGTACAATATTTGCACATTATTATTTTTTTAAAATTCTTCAAGCTCTGTTAAGTTTGTTGCCGCCCATTGCTAGGCAGCCATTTTCAAGTCTTGCCATAGATTTACAAGGCGATTTAAGTCAAAACTGTTAATAGGCCACTCAGGAACACTCAATGTCGTCTTGGTAAGCAACTCCAGTGTATATTTGGCCTTGTGTTTTAGGTTATTGTCCCGTTGAAAGGTGACTGTGTCTCCCAGTGTCTGTTGGAAAGCAGACTGAACCAGGTTTTCCTCTAGGAATTTGCCTGTGCTTAGCTCTTTCCGTTTCTTTTTATCCTTGCCATCCCTAGTCCTTGCCGATGACAAGCAGACCCATAACATGATGCAGCCACCACCGTATGAAGAGTGGTACTTTGTGATGTGTTGTGTTGGATTTGCCCCAAACATAACGCTTTGTATTCAGGACATAAAGTTAATTTCCTTGCCACATTTTTAGCAGTTTTACTTTAGTGCCTTATTGCAAACATTATGCATGTTTTGGAATATGTTTATTCTGTACAGGCTTCCTTCTCTTCACTCTGTCGTTTGTTAGTATTGTGGAGTAACTACAATGTTGTTGATCCATCCTCAGGTTTACTCCCATCACAGCCATTAAACTCTGTAACTGTTTGAAAGTCACCATTGGCCTCATGGTGAAATTCCTGAGCGGTTTCCTTCCTCTCCAGCAACTGAGTTAGGAAGGACACCTGTATCTTTGTAGTGACTGGGTGTATTGATACACCATCCAAAGTGTAATTAATAACTTCACCATGCTCAAAGGGATATTCAATGTTTTTTTTTTACCCATCTACAAATAGGTGCCCTTCTTTGCGAGGCATTGGAAAACCTCCCAGGTTGAATCTGTGTTTGAAATTCACTGCTCGACTGAGGGACCTTACACATAATTGTATGTGTGGGGTACAGAGATGAGGTAGTAATTAAAAAATAGTGAGTCCATGCAACTTGTTAAGGACATTTCTACTCCTGAACTTATTTAGGCTTGCCATAACAAAGGGGTTGAATACTTATTTACTCAAGACAATTTAGCTTTTTATTTTTAATTAATTTGTGAGAGAAAAAATTTAAAATATAAAACTCCACTTTGACATTATTAGATATTTATTGTGTGTAGGCTAGTGACATAACATTTCAATTTAATCAATTTAAAATGCAGGCTGTAACACAACAAAATGTGGAAAAACTCAAGGGGTGTGAATACTTTCTGGAGGCACTGTATGTCATTCTCATTGAAATCAATTCTAAGAAGTGGTAAATCTGTTCTATGTGCTATTTCTATGTTTCCATTTTGTTTTTGCGTCTTTTACGTTCGGTTTTGTACACCAGCTTCAAACTGCTGAAAATACAATATTTTTGGTTATTGAAAATATATTTCACAGTGGTACAACAATTCTCTACAATGCTTGTTTTGTCACAAACTGAAATTAGGCGGAGCGATATGTGCATATTGCACCTTTAAATATGGAAGATCAAGTATTGTATGGGTTAAATAAAGAAGCGTATAGTAGCAGATCCACACTGTGCTGGACTCCCTCCCTCCCCAAGCTCCCACAGCCAGCTGGTACATTTGCATATGGAGTGAAGGAGGTAGAGAAAGAGGGAAGGAGGGAGGTAGCATCAGACACTCCCACTGGCTATAAAGCCCAACCATACTGAAATGCTCAGACAGAAACCACACGTGGATCTGAGCACTGGGAGAGGGAGGGAGGGTAAAGAGAGAGAGAAAGCACGAGGGACAGATGTGGAACTGAGTTGAGGGAGACCGACGATCTGAGAGGAGAGAGAAAGAGAGAGAAAGAAAGAAAGAAAGAAAGGAGACCAACCACATCCTGAGAGGACCTGAGAAACACACAGTGGAACCTGCAATTCACCCATTTGGGTTTCTGGTTTCCCACCAAAGTAAAAGAAAGTCAAAACTCCACATGGGCCTTTAATGACAGAGTTGCCTGTGATACTGGACTGTAGTGCATCGGCGGCTAAGGACTTAGAAAGGGACACTGAGGTAAAACGTTGTACTTTTTTCCTGTGTTATCATTTAAACTATCCATGCAACAGTGGGAAGTCCAGGTGTCACAGTAGCAAACGAAGCCCAGAGCAGAGCTAGCTAATTGGTTGAACAGCAGAGCACGGTGACGCTGACGATGTCCTTCGCCATGGTGCGGCCAGCGCCCAGCCGGTACCTGTACTCCGACATCTCCATGCTGTCCGAGGACGAGGAGAACGGCAACGAGAGCTCGGGCTCCGACGACCGCTCCTTCCGGCTGGACGCCAGAGGTTATGACATCAAGGTCGGGGGCCGCAAAAGGAAGCCGGGAAGCGTCGGAGCGGGCCGTCTGGGAGGGGGTCAGCTCCCGCCCCAGATGTCACACTTGCAGGTCTCGGACGGATCCATCTCTCCGTCGAGCGGGCTGCCACGGCAGCGCAACGCAGCTAACGCTCGGGAGCGGGACCGCACCAACAGCGTGAACACGGCCTTCACCGCCCTGAGGACCCTTATCCCCACCGAGCCGGCCGACAGGAAGCTGTCCAAGATCGAGACGCTGAGGCTGGCGTCCAGCTACATCTCCCACCTGGGCAACGTGCTGCTGGTCGGGGAAATGTGTGGGGACGGGCAGCCCTGCCACGGGCAGCCCTCTTCTGCTCACTACTTAAATCACCATGGTTCGCCGGGGCCCGACGCAGAGAACTCACAGCCCAAACAGATCTGCACCTTCTGCCTCAGCAACCAGAGGAAAATGGTGAGTTGAGTTTGGCTGTAGATATCCCATCTGTCCTCACCATGCATTTGCCATCGTGTCACAACTAGGACAACCAAACACCACACAACTCTGACCTCTTCAGGGCAGTAATATCCAGCAAGTGGGAGTTTTACTTAGGACGCATCATGGTTCCTATATGATTCTTTAAAGAAAATTCAGACTAAAAAAAGCTTTCAAACCTACTCGAAGACAAGCAACCTTTAGAAAATTCCACCCATGAAAAATAAACCTTTCCAAAATGTGAATTTAAAGAGTATGATATGGGTCTCTGCTGTACCAGAGGGCAAGATAACAGCCCCTCAATACTCAGACAGTGAGATGAGGAGCCTCAGTAGTCAAGCTTCAACTAAACCTCCTAACAATAAGACCCTAATCCCCAACTCTCAGAGACAATTCTCCCAGACATCTCAATTTGGTGCCGGCATTTAGTAGCACTTCCCATTGTCTCTTTGGTCTGAGTAGTGAGAGACCGACTGAAGCGAGGCCAACGGAAAATTAACAAGGAACTGTCACAGTGAATACGAACACATCATCTCTCTCTCTCTCTCTCTCTCTCTCTCTCTCTCTTCCTCAGTATACGCCTGGGCAGACTCTGGCTCATAAAGCCAACACCAGGCCGAATTAAAAATAAAACCCTAAATCACGGCATGGGAAACACAATAACCAAAACCAAAAACAGAGGCGGAAACAGTAATTTCAACTCACAAGAGCAAAGCAGCTTTCAAACAAGAAATACACCATACGCCCAAAACAATTAGAGTCAACCATGACACTAGAACATTTTGGGTTAGGTATATAACCACCACAATATGTATTCTACCCTCAGAAAACTTGAAGCCTGTCCAAAATCCATATAATTGAAAAAAGCACAGAGGAAAGAAAAAAGCCTGGAGTCAACAACGTATTTAGAACTGAATGTGGTTTGAGTGATTTGTTAGGCCTCTAAAATGACAAATAGCCTAAACTTAAAAAAGAACACACTTGACTTACTTGACATTCCTTTTAGCTCCTTGTGGAGCAAAGTCACAACATAAGATTATGGTTAAGCGCTTACCAAGAGGTAGATCGCCGGTCCAAAGCATTCTGGGAACATCTGCTGTATTCCCCAATCTGCCAGTGAGCCATCCTGAGCAATTTACACAAACATCCTGTGTTGACGTAAGGCTCTTCTTAAATCTCCAATTAATTACACTTAACCACACACACACCTCTGGCATCCTAAATGAGTAATGAAGCCGATGACAATGACTTGTAATTCTGGACAACACCACCAGCTCACTAGAGATCTTCATTAGCACGTTCCACAGCGCCGTACAGTATAATTATTAGTCTTCACTGTACCATGATTCATATATTGAAATGTACTGGAAATTATCATTTTTTTATGACAAAAACAACAGACGCTCCTTGGAGTGGAAAGTCACAACTCCTGACCTCTGGACAAATCTAAGAGGAAAAACTATGGCCCTACTTGCAAGTGTAATAGCACAAGCCCACCCCACCACGAACCATATCTGGATCAACCTTGTTATCGCATCGCCAAGGAACGAATAATACATCAATCCATCAAAACTAATTCAAGTTAAAGCCAATTAGTCATGTAATGCCTTGCGGACTCCACCCAGTTTATTCACTGCTACAAAGGGTCTTTAAAAGACAATGGAGGCAACAGAGATGCAAGGGTCACACAATTATTAACAATATAATAAAAACACTAATGGACAACATTCGCCTTGACTGGAAGCAATTATGTTCCTCCATTTCATTGATTTCAGCAAATGAGATAATGGCTGTTTAAGAGTTTTCCGAATTAAAGGCCTGTCTATAGGAGGGCTGAGCCGGGCCGATATTCGAAACAGATTGGGCCTCAGCTTTGAAGTCGATGCTTTAAGAGTCGAAGCGACCCGCTCCAAACCGCACTGCTCTCTTTAACCGTACTTAGCGCTCATTACTCCGTGAAACACATCGCTCGGCCAAGACTCATTTCTTTATCGTTTCTAAAGTAATAGGAAAATAAAACAAAAGAGGAAGCCCATTGAGGAATGTCAAAATGGACGGAATGATTTGTTGCCAAAACAGTTTCCCAATTCTGACACAGAACCAATTGAGGACAGGATGGTGAAACAGTTGTTGTCTGATCTAGATCATTCACAAGCATTTGGAAGTGTAAGGAAGATGCTAAAATGCTTCACTGATAAATTAGCATACTGTTCTGATATCACCAGTTAGTGTTTTGGACTCAACCAATCAACATGCTCCCAGTGTGCCCTTTATAATCTACTCATCGGATCAGTAGTCATATCAAACATTTTATATCAACAGAGAGAGACAGTCAATTTCACACCGAATTCTCTAAGCTTTTTCCTGCCACTGAAGTCAAAGGCAAATGTGTGTGAATACACACACACACACACACACACACACACACACAGAGTTAGCAATTAGTTGCTTACAGATGTGTGTGTTAGTGAGTTTGTGATCTTATCAGATACAATGTTTTCCAGTCCAAAATGTTATCCATCTGGCACAGTTTTGACTTGCTTGGACTGAGTGGAATATATCATTTTCTATGTAACATAGTGGAGCTAGATATCTTATGCTTAAATACACACACACACACACACACACACACACACCATTACGATTCAGACCATCATGAAACATTTTACATCTTCCATTGCTATTGACAGCTAATTAATTGTGTAAAAGTACATTTCAACTACAGCCCCAATAAGTAGACATAAGACAGACAGAAATGTACCAAAATTGAGGCTCTGTTTCCCCCCCCTCCCCTTTCGTTGGGGGCTGCAAAGCACAGTCCGTTAGAAAAAGGAGCATTCCTTCTCCCTAATAGCTGTAGCAGGTGAAGACAGGGGTTATGAAGGACGGCAAGGGGATTGCGTAACGGGACACACAGGGGCAGACAAACCCTAGTCAAATGGACGGTACGTGCGCAGGAACGGTTTCTAGGAGTGCAGGGGAAAGGACTTGGCGAGCTCTCTCTCTCTGTGTACTGGGGCTTGGGGTAACCCAACGGATTACTAATTGAGTATAGTCAGTCAGCCTCAGAGCCCAATCCCAAAGCGGTGTGCTAGTCTAGGAGCCCGTGGCTCCTATGTACTGTAATTATCTCTAGTTCCTTCATTACAGCCATATGGAAGTTATTAGAGCAGCGATTTTCTCTGCAACAGGAGCCTATCAGTGTGAACGTGTAAGCACATTTAAGCAATAAGGCCCGAGGGTGTGTGGTATATGCAGAATATATCACGGCTAAGGGCTGTTCTTATGCATAACGCAACGCCGAGTGCCTGGATACAGCCCTTAGCCGTGGTATATTGGCCATATAGCACAAACTCCCGAGGTGCCTTATTGCTTTTATAAACTGGTTACCAATGTAATTAGAGCAGTAAACACAAAATGTTTTGTCACACCCGTCAGCCAATCAGCATTCAGGGGTATAACCACCCAGTTTAAAATATGAAATTAGCCAGTGTGAACTAAACAGTGGGCTGAGGAGCAAGCTAGAACAAAAAAAACACTTGAAGTTGAATGGTGTGTAAACTAAATATTTAATCTTCAATCTACAGGCCAACTGTAAAATAATCCCATGTGATACATTTTTTTACTCTTTCACTCACTCAGTCACACACACCCACAAACACCTGTCCAACAAGTTGTTCTATAACACGCAATATCACGTCCAACTTTTGTCCACAGACAAAACAGAGGGTGTAAAGAACCCACGCTCAGAATAGTTAGGATGAACAGAAGGGGGTTGCGTTTAATAACCCAAACAGATCCATCGTCTGTTAGGGCTTGAGTTACAGGTCTGAAAATCTACACACGCACGCCGGCAGCGAGAGCAGCTGACAAGTGCCTCCATTGTAATCTTGAACCAATCTGCCAACGTTACCCATCAAGACCGAGACCAAACCAAATATTTGCCTAAAGAATGAAGCCTGAGGTGACAATTGAAGACAGAAAAACACAGATTGGTTTCTGTGGAAATGTAATATGTTGTGTTGCTTGTGTTCATGAAAACAACAAAACCTTCCCATGTCATTACATACTGTATTAAACACGGTGGAAGCCTTTAACAAAAGAGAGAGAAAAAATTCAAATCAACCAAGCCTTACGTTTCAGCTGCTGTGGCAGAATTAACCCTATACATCTTTACAATGTGTTATACAGGATATGAAAAACAAAATGTTAAACAAAAATCCTATTAGTTGGGTGTAAGTGATCCCTGGAGCTGAAGAATTTGCAACTTTAAAAAGTGGCACAAAAAAAAATTAAAGCTCCTGGTCCATTTTCAAATGCCTGACCTCATCAATCTGAGTGTTTTGACTGCGAGCGTCCGGGCCCGCCTACATCAGATGGAGCCGTGGAAACGGTGGCATTCCATGGTCTCCCGTGAGCCAGGTGTTTTAATGCTAGTGCTGCCACTCAGAACATGGTGAGAGGAGGAAAACATGAGCCTCCCCCATGGCCATGCCACAGCCCCAGACATCATACCACCACATGGCAATGCTATAGCCCAAGACCAGCAGATATCAAACCATCCCCAGTCCACACAGCCCTACAGGCAGCCTCCACACATCCCTCCCCAGTCCACACAGCCCTATAGCCAGCCTCCACACATCCATCCCCAGTCCACACAGCCCTATAGCCAGCCTCCACACATCCATCCCCAGTCCACACAGCCCTACAGGCAGCCTCCACACATCCCTCCCCAGTCCACACAGCCCTACAGGCAGCCTCCACACATCCATCCCCAGTCCACACAGCCCTACAGGCAGCCTTCACACATCCATCCCCAGTCCACACAGCCCTATAGCCAGCCTCTACACATCCCTCCCCAGTCCACACAGCCCTATAGCCAGCCTCCACACATCCATCCCCAGTCCACACAGCCCTACAGGCAGCCTCCACACATCCATCCCCAGTCCACACAGCCCTACAGGCAGCCTCCACACATCCATCCCCAGTCCACACAGCCCTATAGCCAGCCTCCACACATCCATCCCCAGTCCACACAGCCCTATAGCCAGCCTCCACACATCCATCCCCAGTCCACACAGCCCTACAGGCAGCCTCCACACATCCCTCCCCAGTCCACACATCCATCCCCAGTCCACACAGCCCTACAGGCAGCCTCCACACATCCCTCCCCAGTCCACACATCCATCCCCAGTCCACACAGCCCTACAGGCAGCCTCCACACATCCCTCCCCAGTCCACACAGCCCTACAGGCAGCCTCCACACATCCCTCCCCAGTCCACACAGCCCTACAGGCAGCCTCCACACATCCCTCCCCAGTCCACACAGCCCTATAGCCAGCCTCCACACATCCCTCCCCAGTCCACACAGCCCTATAGCCAGCCTCCACAGCAGCCGGGACCAGTCCACACAGCCCTATAGCCAGCCTCCACAGCAGCCGGGACCAGTCCACACAGCCCTACAGCCAGCCTCCACAGCAGCCGGGACCAGTGGGCATTATCAACCCACTCAGAGGGGGTTAGACCAGAACTAGGCCAGACTGACAGTAGCGTGCAATGCACTCACTCAAAGGGAAAATGTCAGACAAGACTTTATATAAATAAATTAAACCATTTATTTTCTCT